TCTGAGGCATTTCCAGGATCCATTTATTATATATATTAAAGTTGAACCGTCTGGCCTTTTAAAGGATTCTGCTCAGTCACTCTTGTGATCCCGCCGCCCCTTCCACCATATATAGTCATGTGACACACTTCTTTCCTGGACCAGTACTGCAGCTTCTTACGCGGCCTTTGCTCTCATAGACCGCAGACAATTGCCATCATTTCCTCCGTCCAGTAGGGGGAGGGGCCCAGAATCGGTAGTGTGATCTCCCAGGCTGTACATTGTGGCAGATGTGTTGTCACTTCCTGTGTCGTCACTTCCTGTGTTGCCGTGTCCCCGGAGTTCGGATTTCGTGTCATTGATCCTCGGAGGTTAGTCACGGGTGTTTGCGTCTGTCCTGCAGGGTGATCAGTTCGTGCTGCATGAAGATTGGGGTGAGGGCTTGGTGAATAAGAGCGCCCCGGTGCTGTGCGTGATGGACATTGAGAGCAGCAACATCTCCGTCCTGGAGGGGATCCCGGAGCACGTGTCACCGGGACAGGTGAGAGACGCCCATCCCCCCACCTCCCCCCCCATAATGACATCCCTGTCCTCATCACCCTCCGTCTCTCCCCTGATAGGCCTTCTGGTCCCCGGATGACACCGGTGTGGTGTTTGTCGGGTGGTGGCACAGTCCCTTCAGAGTCGGTCTAAAATACTGCACCAACAGGAGGTAAGAGACCCGAGGGGAGGGATTCGGGGTGTCATATCAGGTTGTCTAAACTAAGGAATGTAAAACAAATGGAAAAGCGCACTACCTGGAGTACCAACTGTTGGGGACGTGGGCACAAGTGATTGCAATAAATATTAGGTAATGAAGAGTTAAAAAAGCAGTGTGCAAGCTCTGTGGTGAACAGGGTGAGGGACCCCGTATGGAGAGACTTGCGTTTAGGTGTCTCTGTGATCCCCGTGCGGAGCGTGACTCGGCCAGGGTACAAGTGGGGTGACCATGGGATGGATGGATGCGTGCCTAGATGGTGTCGGGCTGGCAGGAACGATCATGTGATCGAGCTGTGCGGACTGGGATGGCCCGACCTGGCCGCAACGGCTGTGCGTGGTGACCGCTAGATAAGTGTCAGTGGGTCAGGCTGTCCGACAGGCTGCACCTGAAGACGGAGGGGGTCGCAGTGTGTTGGAGTCTGCTGAACCCGCTGAGCGTCAAAGAAGGTGCCCAGTGGGTTCAGGTAGCTCTACGCGTTTCGAGGTACTTGGCTCTTTGTCAAGCTGAGATACGAGGTGAAGGAGAGAAAAAGGTCCCGTTCTTTTGAATTTGACAGCTGGGAGGGGGGTTCGGGTGACATCACCCCGCTCCGATTGGTCGAATCGTGTAGGGGGTGGGGCTGACTCGTTCGTCGTTTCTCTGTGCCGTAGACGTGTTGAATGAATGTTCTTTGGCGGCGGGCTGGAGTCAAACGAAGTGGCTGTAAATAGATCATGTCTGGGAGTAGAGCAAGCATAAAGCTCTCATGTTTCTCACCAGTCAATATCTAACGGGGACGTGGGGTAGGGCGCATTTCATGACCATTGAATACAACGGGATTTAGATGTTTGAGCGTTTTGTAGAGCGTTCGCCGAGCGTGGAACGCGCCACAAAACGTTCCGGTTTGACCGAGGGTCGTGTTCTCTTGGAGGGTCGTGTTCTCTTGGAGGGTCGTGTTCTCTTGGAGGGTCGTGTTCTCTTGGAGGGTCGGGTTCTCTTGGAGGGTCGGGTTCGGATGGCGTTCTTGGCGTTTTTACAAATCTCCTGTAGGTCAGCGTAGACCACATGGTAGAATGTGTCAATGAAGGAACCTTTTGAATTGAGCGGGTAAAACGTAGACCTGGGTCTAAGGTCTCGTTCACACCTAGGCGTATTGCATATGCGCGTCTGTACGATTCGCGGTAAAAAAAGTTGCGCGTTTCCGAAGGCTACTTGGCTGTAGACATGTGCTGATTCGTTTCGTTCCGAATCGAAATTCGGACGAATTTTCGGACATTCGGATGTATCCGAATTCCGAATTACAGACATAACGAATGCAAACGAATCCGAATTTCCATTTCCAAAATTCTGTAGCGTTAGTTCGAACGTTCGTTTGGTTTTCTGTTCTTATTCGGTTCGTTCGTTGGAGCAAAGTGACATTAGAGAAGGAGAAACATATTTTTCCCCCTTCGAATGTCACTTTGCTGCGAACGAACGAAACGAATAAGAACAGAAAACGAAACGAACGTTCGAACTAACGCTACCGAATTTCGTACGAATCCGAATTCCGAATCCGAATTGACTTTCACACCCGAAAAACGAAATAACACAAATCCGAATTTAAAACGAAACTAAACGAATTTTTTGGCAGTGCGCATGTCTACTTGGCTGTATCCCAATGGAAACGCGCTACAAAACGGCCCAAAGTAGTACCGGGACCTTTCCAGGCGCGGGCCGTTTTGTAGCGCGTTAGGGACGGGCGGGCGCCGAGGTGGGAACCAGACCATTGAATACAATGCGATTTATATTTCTGAGCGTTTTGTAGAGCGTTCGCCGAGCGTAGAACCCGCCACAAAACGTTCTGGTGTGACCGAGGCCTAAGGGTGGTATGAGTGAAGGCGGGGTTTATAAAGGACTCGAGATCAGGAACCAAATTGGGGGTCAAGGTCTGCCAGTTCATACAGAATGTTTAGGACGTGGCCGTCCTGTTCGTCAAACATGTCTGCTAAGACCTCCTGATTAGGAGGCAAAGCCTGGCTGTTGGTGCCGGAAGGTTTGAAGGGTATTGTGGTGCAATAATGTCTTCTAAGCGTGAGGAGTCTAATGAATCTGTGGAGATCTTTGAAGAGGGTACAGGAGGAGGAAGACCCGAGGGGAGGGATTCGGGGTGTCATATCAGGTTGTCTCACTCTTTCCTGTACAGAGACGGATGGGGTGGTAAGGGCTCGGTAGCGCCCCCCTCTGGTGGTGACTCTGTTCTCTCCTCTAGAGACTCTCTCTGCGGACTCCTCGTCGGTCTTCTCCCCGCGGCTGAGCCCAGACAAGTGTCGGATTGTGTACCTGAAGTGCGACGTGTTCGGCCCTCACCTCCAGTGCTGTCAGCTGCTCATGGTACCCGATCTCCGTGTCTGTCATTGTGATATCGGGTCCTGTGCGGTGCCCGGTGAGGTCACGGCGGGAGCTCCGCAATCTGTGCTGGGTCATCATCTGTGACTGCTGAGAGCTCCCCCCCCTCCCTATCCCTCAGACACCAGGGGGATGTATTTGGGGGAATTTGGGGGGTCACGGGGACTAGGGAATAGGGGTCACGGGAAGGGCCGGATTTACTCTCCCTGCCGCCCCAAGGCCAGGTTCTGCGATGCTGCAGTTAGTGACGGCAGAGACAGGGGGCGCTGTGACTACACGGTCTCAGTAATCACAGAGCAGACGAAGAACGGACGTCCTTCGTCTGCTCAAGGGGCTCTATGGTGTGCTCCTATGCCGTGGTCACGGTCCCCCAGAGGGGCGGGGGACCCCGAAAACCACGGGGGGTGCGGGGCGGACACGATCGCCGCCGCTCGATTTAATACAAGTGATCTAATTAGATAACTTGTATTAAACGAGCAGCGGCTCCCGCTGTACATTCAGCTCTGCTCGTCAAGAGCCAGGCTCAATGTACAAAAAAAACTGCTCGCCCGGCGCCCGAAACTGCATGTCCCGGGCGTCGGGCGATAGGTATTCGCTCCATAAGACGCAGGCACATTTTTCTCCTCCTTTTGGGGGGAAAAAAAGTGCGTCTTATGGAGCGAAAAATACAGGAAGTGCTGACATTAATATTGGGAGGGGAGGGAAACATTTTTTTGGCTTTAATGTCACTTTAATTTTTATAATTTTTTTTTTTTTCCACTTAACTTTATTGCTATCACACAGCAGCTAACAAGCCCCTGTGTGATAGCATTTGGAGGTGACAGGTTCTCTTTATTGAACCTGTCACCTCCAATACAAATGTGCTGGCTCTCCTCTGACATCTGAGATGGGAAGGGAATCACTTGTACAATACGAGCAGCGGCTTCTCCGCTCTACATTTAACTCTGCTTGCCCAAAGGCGTCGGGAGATAGGAATTCCACACCCCTGCTGGCCCTCTACTACCCTGCCGCCCCGAGGCCGGGCCTCGGTGGCCTTGTGGGAAATGCGGCCCTGCTCCTCCTCTAGCCTATGACTGGGCTGTAAAAGGAGAAGCAGCACACTGATGAGCTCATCTCTCTGACAATCTGCTCTCTCCTCCCTAGCAGTATGCTCCTTACACTGGAACACACCTGGCTGGCTCCTTGTGCTGCTTCTCCCTTTCCTCTCTCTAAGCTCTACCATACAAGCACTGCAAGTCCGATACCAAGTCACATTCATTTACTTACAGTGCTTGCATTTAAAAGGACATTTAATGCATTGTATTATTGAATACAGAGCTGCATTGATTGCTCTCTCTTTTTTTTTACATTTATCTGGATTTTAGCTTTAGGCTGGGTTCACACCTGTGCGTTGCTATAGGCGCGTTTTATGCACATTATTTCAGCTCGTTTTTAGCACGTTTTTTAGGATGTTTTTTAGTTCAGTGAAACGCGTGTTGGATGCTCGTTTTTATACCTCCCTGGCGGTATGATTTTTTAAAAATTTTTCCTTTTATTTTCTATCTTTTTTTAACTTTCAAACTTCCCGCCGGTTCCGCCCCCCTGCGACGCGGACACTGGCAAGGGACGGAACCCGGAAGACGACAGCGGCCGGAGGACACAGCGGGGAGCGCGGACAAGGTAAGACCTACGCTGCATTCCCGAGTGTGGCTCGGGGTTACCGCTTTGTTAACCCCGAGCCACACTCGGGAATACCAATGGAAACGCTCGGAAATACGCCCCAAAAGAAGCTCCTGTACTTGTTTGGGCGTAGGGCGTTTTTCAGCGCGTTTTCACGGGCTGAAATACACCCAGGTGGGAACCATGCCCATAGGGAACTATGGGATTTCACTTGCTGAGCATTTTTCAGCGCTTCGATCAGTGCTGTAAAACGCCCAGGTGTGAACCAGCACTTAAACTCAAGGAGCATGTGACTTTGTATGTCTTATCTTTCCACTCTTGCACAATCAGGTAAAGTAAATTATGCAGCTATGTCATCTGTCCTTTGTTGCTGAGGAATGCAGTGCTGCCACGTACTAAGAGGAAACAGGAAGCAACGTTTCATATGTGAGCAGATTGAAACGTTTGTTCGCCCTGTGGATCAGCTCACTCTCTTCTTTTGGACATTTTAGAGGCTCTACTTCGTATCTGAAGCTTTCTTTGAAGTTTGGCTTTCATGGTCATTTTTATGGATTTCCCCCCAAACATGGAACTCGCAGCCCTGGCTTGATGGAACTTCGAGGTCTGGCAGTGTTTTACTGCACAACCACCAGACTCATCTCCATCTGGAGTATACGGATTATATTTTGTGTTGTATGGAGGAAACCTTCTGCACGATTTCATTTTCTTTACAGGAATCGACTGAACTCTCTCTGCAAGTACGGGGTATGTTTGAGTTCCTTGAAATGGACGACGTATTGGTCACCCTTCATGTCATTACAATGTGGCATTTATACCCCAGGCTGACATAACGTCATACTAAATTCAGGAGTTAAATCTTGCAAATACATTCAAATATCCTAACTAATAACAACAATGTATCTCATTTGTGTATCACTCGGCTGTAGATCCTCCAATCATCTCTGA